TTTGCTAAACTTCCAGAATGGCAAAGTTCAGGTCCCCTGCAACTTCAACCATGGCAGTAAGGAGCCATGGAAGGCACTTGGGAGGCCAGGGCAGGATTGCTGCAATCAGGCCATCCTGGGCTACATAGTGAGTTCAAGGCCCTTGGGAGATAGGTAGGGAAGCAAGGCCTCCTGTCTCAAATAAGCAAACTCGATTCAGTGACACTTTTTAAATTTACTTATTTCTTATTTTTAAATTTTATGTGCACATGTATTATGTTTGCCTGTACGTATGTACGTGTACCACATATGTGCAATGTCACAAGAGGGCGTCAGATCACCTGGAACTGGAGTTATGAAAGGGCCTAAGCTGCCATGTGGGTGCTGGGAACTGAACCCAGGTCCTCTGCAAGAGCAGCCAGGATCTTAACCACTGAGTCATCTTTCCAATTTTTCCCTCTTTTTTTTTTTTGAGACGAGGTCTCCCTGCAGCCCCAGCTGGCCTGGAGCTCCCTATGTAGACCAGGCTGGCCTTGATCTCACAGAGATCTGCCTGCCTCTGGCTCCCGAGTGCTGGGATTAAAGGCATGCACCACCACACCTGGCAACCACCGCAATTTTTTTAAAAACTTTCTTAAAATTTGTATTTGTATGTGTGTCTGTGAATGTATGCCACCTGTGTTTGGGTACCCACAGAAACCAAAGGGCTTTGGATCCCCTGGAGCTGGAGTTATGGGTGGTTGTGAGCCTCCTGATGTGGGTGCTGGGAACCAAACTCAGGTACATGCTTTTAACCGTTGAGCTATCTCTCCAATTGCGCCCCCCACTTTTTGAGATAGGGGCCCAACCTGACCTTGAATACATCAATTGATCTTTCTGACTCTTCCTTCCAAACATCTGGGACTACACAGAACAAGGCTTTTCCTTCTGTCCCTCTCCCGCCCTCCTTCCCTCCCTCCTTCTCTTTCTCTTTCTTTCAGGGCTAGGGTTGGAACCCAAAACGTGCTGTGTGCTTCGCAAGTGCTATGCCACTGTTATGTCCCCAGACCAGGAGGACACACTGCATCCAGCCATGCAGTTCCAGCACTTTTGTATTGAAAAGTCTGAGGCTAGAGGATAGTGACCAGGGAAAAAAGGAAGGGTGGGGGAGAAGGAGACATGTTGAAAAAAGGAAGGAAGGAGGAAGGAGGGAGGGAGGGGGAGGAGGGAGGGAGGAGGGAGGAAGGAAGAGGGAGGAAGGAAGGAGGAGGAGGGAGGAAGGAGGAGGGAGGAGGGAGAGAGGGAGAGAGGGGGAGAGGGAGGGAGGGGGGGGGGGGGGGGAGAGAGAGAGAGAGAGGGAGAGAGAGAGAGAGAGAGAGAGAGAGAGAGAGAGAGAGAGAGAACTAGAAACCAGAGGGGGAACAGAGATGGAGAGAGAGACAGAAACCCAGAGAGAATGAGAGAGACAGAGACCGAGAGGGGGGCAGATATCCAGAGAGAGAGACAGAGAGCAGACCCCAACCTACCTGGCCCTCACATCACCTACCCCATCTTGCAGTGAGCTGCAGTGAGCACCCAGCGCTCACTGACCAGTACTCCTCCAGAGGGAGGGAGGAGGAAGGAGGGAGGGAGGAGGAAGGAGCATGCTGTAGCCCGTGTGGAATGATCTGTCATCCCAGCTCCTTACAACAAAAGTCCCTGCTGGGTATGGTGGTGCACCTGTAGTCTCAGCACTTGACAGGCTGAGGAAAAAAAGTTCAAGGCCAAGCCAGTTGTGGTGGTGCTAGTCTTTATTTTTTTTAATATTTTATTTATTATTTTTATTTTTTTAATGTGTGCATGTATTGCCTGCATGTAGGTAAAGTGCACCGTGTCGTGCAATGCCCATGGAGGACAGAAGAGGCTGTCGGATCCCCTGGAACTGGAGTTACGGACAGTTGTTAGCTGCCATGTGGGTGCTGGGATTCGAACTCAGGTCTTCTGCAAGAACAACCAGTGTTCTTAACTGCTGAGCCATCTTTCCAACCCCGGTGCTAGTGTTTAATCTCAGCACTGGGAAGCAGAAGCAGGTGGATCTCTCTGAGACTGATGCCAGCCTAGTCTACAGAGTGAGTTACAGGCTGGCTGGACCCTGTCTTAAAAAAAAAAAAAGTTCAGCCAGGCATGGTGGCATATGTCTTTAATCCTAGCACTTGGGAGGCAGAGGCAGGTGGATCTTTGTGAGTTCAAGGCCAGCCTGGTCTACATAGTGAGTTCCAGGACAGCTGGGGCTACAAGGAGACCCTGTCTCAAAAAAGACACACACGCAAAAAAGTTCAAGGTCAGCCTTCGGTGCAGATTAAGTTCCAGGCTAGCCCAGCCTCAAAAGAAAACATCTAAATAAAGCTGTGGCTAGAGCTCAGAGGTGGCGGCTCTGTATATGTGAAGCTCTGGGTTTCATCTACAGCTGCCAACAGACAGACAGATACACACATGCATGCACACACACTGGCACACATGCACAGGCACTCATTTTAATCAGAAACACTTCATCTGTATTTAATTTTCAGGAAATTTACACTTGCCAAAGATTCTCATATCAGCTGCTCAAAAGTTCAGATTAGCTGGGCGTGGTGGCGCACGCCTTTAATCCCAGCATTCAAGAGGCAGATGCAGGCGGATCTCTGTGAATTCAAGGCCAGCCTGGTCTACATAGTGAGCTCCATGACAGCTGGGGCTACAGGGAGACCCTGACTCAAAAAGACCAAAAAAAAACAACTTTAGATTAGTAAAACCAGCTAGACTGATGAATGGTTTCTGAATTTTGTGGTTTCCCACTTCAAAACTTATTCCTGAAAAAAAAAAAAAAAGACATAAAAGCATTAGTGGTGTCCGTGATCCCAGCTCTCAGAGGTGGAGACAAGGGCATCACCAGTCTAAGGCTAACCTCAGCTACATAGTAGTATTTATTATTGGGTTGCGGTAGCCTGGACCTTCTGGGCAATCCTCCTGCCTCTACCTCCAGCAGTTATTTTTATTTATTTTCTTTCTTTTTGAGACAGGGTCTCCCTGCAGCCCCAACTGGCCTGGAACTCACTATCTATCCCAGGCTGGTCTCAAACTCACAGAGATCCACCTGCCTCTGCCTCCCAAGTGGTGGGATGAAAGGCGTATCTGTATACATAAATGTGTGCATGTTGTACCACGGCATGTTTGTGAGGTCAGGTAACAACTTACAGGAGTTGGTTCTCTCTCAGCATCTGTGTCCCAGGGATCAAACTCAAGTGGTCAGACTTGGTGGCCGTGCTTTTACCCAATGAGCCATCTTGCTGACTCTGTTTTAGGGAATTTAAAATAAATTTACTTTATGTCTATGAGTGTTATGCCTGCACGTATGTAAGTGCACCCATGTTGTGCAGTGCCTGCAGAGATCAGAAGAGGGTGTCAGATCCCCTGCAACTGGAGTTACAGAGGTTTGTTAGCTGCCGTGTGGGTGGTGGGAACTGAACCCAGAGTTTCATGTAGTCCTGGCTGGCCTTTGGCTCACTATGTAGCTGAGGATGACCTTGAACTTCCTGGCTCTACATCCAGAGTGCCAGGATTACAGGCTACAGGCTGTGCCACCACACCCTCCTCCACAGTAGTTTTTTTAAGATGTATTTTTATTTTATGTCTGCATTACCTCCATATATGTAAGTGCACCATGTGTGTGCCTGTTGTCCAAGGATGCCCAGGAGAGGGTATTGAATCACTTGGAACAGGAGTTACAGAAAATTGCAGTCCACCATGTGAGTGCTGGGAACTGAACCTGGGTGCTCTTAGCCGCAGAACTATCTCTTCAACACCCATCCATCCACAGTAATTTCTATTTTAACTTTTTTTGAGTTAGGATGGTAGTTCATGCCTAAAATCTCAATACCGGGGAGACCAAAACAAAGATTTAGAGTTCAGCTGGGTGTGGTGGAGCACACCTTTAGTTCCAGCACTAAGGAGGCGGATCTCTATGAGTTTCAGGCCAGCCTGGTCTACATAGTGAGTCCAGGCCAACTGAGGCTACAGGGAGCCTGTGTCCAAAAAAAAAAAGATTTTGAATTCAAGGCCTTTTGGGCTGCAGAGAGAGATCCTGGCTCATCAAAACAGTTCAAACCAAACCAAACAACAACAACAAAAAACAAAAAAAAACAAAAAAACCCAAAGCAAAACAAAACACTAGCAATGGTTCCCCCTTGTCTGTTCAGCCTGTCTTCCTGGGCTCTCAATAAACTTACTAGTTTTTGCAGTTTAAATTGGATAAAATAAGGTGAAGTTTAAAATTCAGCTTCCAGGCTGGGATGGTGGGACATGCCTTTAATCCCAGCACTTGGGAGGCAGAGGCAGGCAGATCTTTGTGAGTTCGAGGCCAGCCTGGTCTACATATCGAGTTCCAGGACAGCTGGGGCTACAGGGAGACCCTGTCTCAAAAAGATTAAAAAAAAAAAAAAAAAATTCAGCTTCCAGGGGCAGTGAGATAGCTCAGCAGGTAAAAGCACAGGTCACCAAATCCCCGAACACCTGAGTTCAGTTCCCAGGATCCACAGTGGAAGGAGAGAACTGACTCCCACAAGTTGCCCCTTGACCCCCACCAGCACTGGTACCCCCAATACACACACTTGAATAGGAAATTTTTAAAAATTCAACTCTTGCCACGCGTGGTAGCGCACACCGGATCTCTGAGAGTTCAAGGCCAGCCTGGTCAACATATTGAGACTGTAGTGTAACATAGCAAGACCTGTATCAAAAAAGCCAAACAAAAACAAAGTGAGTTTAAGGCCAACCTGGATTGGGGGGGGATGCCTGGGGTGTAGAGCCCCTGCCTAGAATCCCACCCCAACCCGCGCCAAACCCCCCCCCCCACACACACACACGGTGAGGTGCTGGGGCGTGGTGGAGCCGCTGCCTAGAATCCCTAGTGAGGGGCTGGGGTGTGGCTCAGTGAGAGTGCTGGCTGAGAATGAGTGTCACCAGATATATTTATTATTCCATTTTACAGAAGAGGACGCTGAGGCCAAGCAAGAGCAGTCACCTGACACAGAGAGCACAGCCCCAACACAGGGGAAGTTGGCTGGAGGCTGGCCCGCTCCTGGGCTTGCTGCCCCTCCAGCTTTCTCCTCAGGATGGAGTCAACATCAGAATCAAGCATGAGCTCCACTTACAAACTCTCCACAAAGTCCTTGCCCCCATGAACTTGTACATAAATAATTCTTTTTTTACCAGCTCACCAGGGCCTGTCTGTGGATTTGACAGTGTGGCTGGGGCAGTTTGGGTTTCAAGATTCTTAACTCTCCAGGGCGGGGTGAGTACTCCAGAGGCAGGATCTCAAATTTACGACCTACCCAGGCGGTAGGCGCTCTCCAGAGACCTAAACCACTGGGGCTGGAGAGCTGGCTCTGGCGGTAAGAGCACTGGCTGCTCTTCCAAGTGACAGGGGTTCAGTTCTCAGCACCCACATGGTAGCTAACAACTGTAATTCCAGTTCCAGGGGATCTGACACCTTTTGACCTCGGAGGGCATTGCAGGACACAGGTACACTTACACACATGCAGGCAATACATTCGTACACATAAAAGTAATAATATAAAAGGAGGAAAACCAACCCAGAGCCAACACCACCGAGAAACCCCAGGTGTTTTCTGAGGCCCTGGGCAATGCTAGATAGACTCTGATGTAAGGCGGAAGGAGCTCCGTCCCCAGGCTCCTGGTCTTGGGGGGCATCCTAGCCCTGCAGTTCAGGGGGACAGGATGATCTTGTGGGGCTCCCACATGCACTGATCCAGGCAGGGATGAACCGGATGAGCTCCTGGGATTGTCCACACTGCATTTTGGAGGGGCCATGAGTGCATAGCAGGTCGTGGGAGGGCGTACTTAGCAGGACGGGACATCTCAGGCAAGCAGGGCTGTGCACTGCAGGGGCATCTCAGGCAAACCGGGCTGTGCGTAAAGGGGGCATCTCAGGCAAGCAAGGCCAAGGCACTGCCTTCTGAACTAGACGGTGGGTGCAGTCCAGGCGCTTCCATCTTGGGGGACCACCTCCCCCTGTTTGACAGATGAAAGGCAGCCGGTCCCCCTCCCACGCGCAGACCGCTGAGTCTAGCCCCAGCACAGACGGGCGGCCGGCTCGCCCCCTGATGGCCACCCTGAGCCCTACAGCCTTAATCGTTTCAGGGGAGCAATGGCGCTCCCCACTCGCACACATGGCGGACACCGCATGGAGAGGAGCACTCCCTTAAAAATATGGCCGCTGGGGCTGGACGGCCTTGTCTCCCCCGGGCCTCCTCATGACCCACGTGACCTCCAGCCCAGAACAGCTTTGGCCGCCCAGGCTCCACCCAGAAGCCGCTCTGATTGGTTAGTCCGCGGAGGGCCGGCCTTCCGAGAGGGCCTCTGTGCGCATGCGTCACACGCTTTGTCCAATGGAAAGACAGAAAGCGCTCGGACCCGCCCGAATTGCGTCACTTCCTCCGCCCCTGCAGCAAGGGATAAGAAACCCCTCGGCAAGACCTCCTTCTTTTCCAGGCGGCTGCCGAAGATGGCGGAGGGGCAGGTTCGGGCTCTGTGCGCGCCGGCTGGATTGGGGGTCGGGTGGGTTCCGGGCGGTCGCGGGTTGGGGCTTGCGTGGCGGGATGTGAGGACGGCAGCAGCGCCGAGTAACAACGCTGGGGACGGGCTTGGGGGGTCCCGCCCGGGAACCCGTGGGGCTTGGTCATGCCGGTTTGGCCATACGTGTGACCCGTGACAGGGTTTGCAGATACGGAGGGTGGAGGCTTCCTGTGGCTTCTAGTGTGTTGACGTACAACGTTAAGGGAGTCGGTAAAGGTCTGGAATGTTCAGGGTTGAGCTGCTGTACAGACCTGGAATCTGGGTAGGGTAGCTGCAGGGTAGACTGAGGGAGGGTGACGTTCGTGACTTGGACGACGTTCAGGGGTTAGTGGGTGCCTGTAAGGGCGGCAGCGGCTGGAGAAGTGGGCTGTCCAAGACATCGTGCCCTTGAGAAATACCTGCAGTGGGGCTCCAGGAACGGCCCGAACTCGGCTTTGAGGGCCCTGTCTGTGAGTAGTGAGTCCAAGAACTTGGCTTTGAGGACCCTGTCTCTGCGGATTTGGTGAATAGTGGAGTGCAAAAAAAGGATTTCCTATTTCTGGAGGTCAGTCTTCTGTGACAAAGAGCCGTGCTGACTGGCAAGTGGTTGTTAACAGGCATGTGTGATCGTATTACTGAGAGGTCCTGGTTTTGTATTAGAACTGGAATGGAATGTTGGAGACATTTTATTTGAGACCTGGCTCCTAACCTACAACGGAGCCCCACTCATGCCAGCGCCTCTAAGCAGAGTCTGCCATCCTACCACCACACAGTATCTGGGGCAGCCATTACATGCTGTTAGTGGGCCTTGGAGCTTTGCAAGATGGCTTCTGTTCTTGGGGAAGCTGAGGATCTTTCCCTAATCATCTCTCCTGAAACTGCCTGGTTTAGGGATAGGGTGGTGTGGCTACATGTGACAGTAGGTCCCAGCTGGAGTTTGAAGTGTATGGGTAACCTGGTGAGCCTCTGTCAAGTGTGCTTTACACATACACATAGAAAAACAACTAGGCATTGACCTGTTCTACAATTTGTAAGTGGTATCACAGGTCCATGTCCACAGTACCAAGCCAGAAGTACGTGGCCTTTCAAGTACCCGCTGACCCTTTGGAGAACCCAGCCCATCTGATCACAAGCACATCTGGTTTACAGGGGTACGTGGCAGCCTGATAAGGACAGCCGGGCTGGTTCTCAGTTCTCCTTGTCTCTCACAGGTTCTTGTGCTGGATGGACGAGGCCATCTTCTGGGCCGCCTGGCGGCCATTGTGGCCAAACAGGTCCTGCTGGGTAAGTGTCACCATTCTCCCTGTTGCAGTTTGCCTGGAAGTCAGTGATGAGCAACAATCACCATCTTTCGTTTGAGTCTCACGACTGTGAGATCAACCCATGCACCGCTCTGAGACTGCCAGCCCGCTGAGACTGCTCAGAAGTGGCAACCAAGGGCCTGGCCTTACCCTAGGGCTGTGGCTTTGCTGGGTACCACACATGCCTTTCCTAACCTGTCTGACACCTCTCTCTAGGCCGGAAGGTGGTGGTTGTACGCTGTGAGGGCATCAACATTTCTGGCAATTTCTACAGAAACAAGCGTGAGTAAGGGCCCAGGGAGTGTCCACATGGGGAAGCGGCTTGAGTTCTAAATAGGTCGCATTAAGGCTTAGCTGGGACCTAATAGACCTCCTGGTGCACCCCTCTCCTGCAGTAAAGTACCTGGCCTTCCTCCGCAAACGGATGAACACCAATCCTTCCCGTGGTCCCTACCACTTCCGGGCTCCAAGCCGCATCTTTTGGCGCACCGTTCGAGGTGAGCCAGGCCTGGGGATGGTGTGGAGGGTGAGGGGAGACCTGGCAGCCTGTGATGAGGATGTTTCCCACTCATGTTCGAGTTTCCCAACCATGAGATGACTCCACATGCACTACCATCTGAGGCTGGCCAGTCTCCCTGTTCTATGGTGGGGAGAGGGTGGGGTCACCCCTCTTAAGAAGCGTGTCATCTCTGCCTGCAGGCATGCTACCCCACAAGACCAAGCGAGGCCAGGCTGCCCTGGAACGCCTCAAGGTGTTCGATGGGATCCCCCCACCCTATGACAAGGTGAGCCCTGCCCAGCCCCCACGGAGCCTCTGCACCCAGCGTCTGTGATGTTCTGCTATTGCCTACATTGTTTGAGCCTCATGAAAACACCACTAGCTGAGACGCCGCGCTGCCAGCCTCCACCCCAGTTGTCACTCACTGCAGGTCTCTGAGCCCCTCTCCTTCCCTAACAGAAAAAGCGGATGGTGGTCCCCGCAGCCCTCAAAGTTGTGCGTCTGAAGCCTACCCGGAAGGTAAGCTCCAGGTGGCCGGGACTGGTCTAGGTTGGTACCTGCTAGGGAGAGACCCCGAGTCCTCTCAGACTGGCAAGTGATGTCCTTTTCTCACGATGGTCTGCGGATGCCCAGGGCGGTGCCGATAATGCCACAGGCTCAGCTGATGCCAAGAGGGGTTCCTGCACGGGAGGGAGTGTCCTTACTGAAGTGCGCAGTGCCCTCTTGCTCACCCCTATGCTGCGGGGCGGCTTCCATGTCCTTACAGCCTTGTGCCCCTGCAGTTTGCTTACCTGGGACGTCTGGCTCATGAGGTTGGCTGGAAATATCAGGCTGTGACTGCGACCCTGGAGGAGAAGCGGAAGGAGAAGGCCAAAATCCACTACCGGAAGAAGAAGCAGCTCATGGTAAGGGGCTCATTCTACATGTGTAGGGGTGGGCAGGGTACTGCCCCTCATCACTCACCACCCTCATTACTCCCACTGCAGAGACTGCGGAAGCAAGCTGAAAAGAATGTGGAGAAGAAAATCAGCAAGTTCACAGAGGTCCTCAAGACCAATGGACTCCTGGTGTGAGCCCAATAAAGACTTTATGCCTCATGCCTGCCTGGCCTGCCCTTCCTCCACCCCAACGCCGCCCGGGATATGGGGACAAAAGGTGCTTTAGGCATTGCTCCTGTAGGGGTACTTCAAACAGCCTGGGAGCTGTGCAGATTAGCAGTTACTTTGGTTTCTCAATCTGGGAGGAAGGGAGCTGCCTGCCTGGCCCAATGCCATACTCTGCAGCTGTGAGAATGGGGGCCCCATGTTGCTCTTCTGTGCTGCATGTTGTGGCCACATGCTGTGAAGATACAGCCAAGGTCACAGGCACTTGCCATATCAGAAAGCAAGTTTCTTTTGCTATACAGTTTTCACTATGTACTAATAAATTATTTTATTTTTAAAGCAATTTGGTGTCTTTACAGTATGTGTCTGCGGAGGCAGGCCCAAGGGCAAAGGGACACTGATGGGCTGCCTTGGCCCTCACATGGACAGATCCTCAGTGCCAGCTTTGCCCACCTAGGTAGTTCTGCCTCATTCTAGCTCAGCTGCAAAGTATGGGATTGCCACAGTCACTGCTACCCTGACTCCAAGTTAGGGACACTTTCAGAGGACGCTTGGGACTAGAATAAAGGGTGTAAGGAGAGAGGGCCTGCTTTTCCAAAGGCCTTGGCTTCCACATTAGGCAGTTCACAAGTTTCTCTACCTCCAGCTTCTGGGGATCTTTTAGACACTGCCCTAGGCAGTGCTTTTTGGGCACATCATTAACGGTTCCTTAGCATAAAGGACATTTGAAACTACTGGCCTCTTAAGAGGTGTGTCTTGCTCATGTCCCCAGGCCAGACTGGGCTTTGCTCAGCCCCATTCAGTCTAAACATGCTGCAGTGTGTTTATATGCAGCACTGGGTAGAAGCCCAGGTCTTGTACTTGGTAGACATCTATGGTGTGTTCTCTGGGTTAAGGTTAACGCTGTAAATCCAGGTCTGAGCCGCCACTCTTAGCTACACCTTGATTTTCAGTGTCAAGGCAAGAGCTGAAGATCATCCTGGGCTACATAGGTAGGTCAAGGCTAGACACCCTTCAAACCACCACAGGAAGTCTTGTGGCATTTCCTTCTAGGTTTGAGATAAGATCCTGGATCCAAGCTGGCTTCAAGTGGCTGGTGTTCCTGTCTCAGTTTCCCAGGTTCTGGGATTTCAGGCTTGTTCAATGACTGTGGGCCCTGAGGCACTTTCTGTTCTCAAGTCCAGCATTTGGGGCCACAGGTGATCTTTAAAATGCAGGCCAGCCATGGCTACAGGAAAACCCCATCTAAAAAAGAACAATGCACAACAAAGCCTTCCCCAAATCATGAAATTGTAGAGCCACATCGATATGTGGGTGTGGAGCTGTCTAAAGCCCAGCACGTAGAATCACAGGGCTGAAGGTTAACTATCTTTTGAAAGTCTGAGTACCCCTAGTTGTGCTGTACAGAACTGAATCTACAAAAAATATTTCAACTGGACTCGTGAGCTGGTACAGCCGATAAAGGCTCAGGCTCAACCAAAAAGACAAAATATTTCAAAAGTTCAAAAGGTAGTTTTCTGCCTCGAAGTCCCCACCTAGTTCATTAATGGGGTGCCCTCTTGGAGTGTGAGGCCCACTCACACTGCCTCACACTCCAAGGAGTGGTCATTTTCTAAGGTCACACAACCAGCCAAAAGCAGTCAGGCCTAAGCCCAGGAAGAGTTGACCCCTAAATCAGATTCTCGAACCCCAGACTGGCCTCCAGCACGACCTGACTGGAGGGTCATGACAGCCTGAGATACACAGACCCTGTCCAAAAAAATCAAACAAGAAAAACCTTATATTTTCTGCCATCAAATTAAACACTTAAAAATAAGTCCCACCCTCGGCGTGAAACATTACTTTTAGCTACTTGGCAGGTCAAGGGAGGGAAGTGGACAGTTCAAGCCAGGCTGGACGCAGCATGAAAATCCATTATTCAGGTATGGACCCTGTACCGTTCAACTATAGCCATTACTCACGTGTGCACGTTTAAAATCTAATAAAATGAAATAAAGCTATAAAACCTGGCCTCCAGCCCCAAAGACACAGTACAAATGGCCCAGGGTCACTAACTCACATCCAGGGATTAAACAACACAGGAAGGCGTTTTCACCCCAATTCTGAACGGTCCTGGAGGCTCATAGCAGCGCCACTGGGCAGCTGCCCGACGCAAAGATGGCCGCCACAGCTTCTTACTGGAAAGCTGGACGACCACCACGCGGTTCCCAAACTCCAAATGGAAGTCCTGAAGACCCGTGCCGGCTTCCCCACGACTCTCACGAGAACAGGCCACGCCCTCGGACCAGGGCAGCTTGAGATCTCGCGAGATCAGTTCCGCTTCCCGCTCCTTAGGATTCTGCCATCATGGCCGCGTACGGACAGCCGGGACATCGGAACCGGAAGCACCTCCCAGAGTCGGTCTGCTCCACCCCCTCGCGTCACTTCCGCTCCAGCCCTTGCGCGGTGGATAAGGAAACCCGGGTTGGGCTGCCCCGCTCTTTTCCTCAGGCTGCCGGGAAGATGGCGGACATTCAGGTTCGGGCTGGGTTTGGGGGTGGGGGGGTTTGTTCCCAGGCTTCCGAGTGGCGTTCCTGCGTCTACACAGCACGGCTCGCGAGCACCCGGGGCCGTGGGGGCTGTCGTTGGGGGTTGGGGGGAGCGGGGCGCCCGCCGCGTGACCTGGGGCTCGAACCCCCCTGGGCCTCGTGCTCGCCGAAGGAGCGCGCGCCCCAGGACTTCAGCCTGTCTACGCGGGTATCTTGACCCATGGTCTAGCCTGGAGGTCCTTAGCTCTGGCTAGCCGCGACCTTGCCATCCTGCCGCAGCCTGAATATGGAACCTGGCATGATCCTGTGTTTAGAGCGAATATGTCTGTATGGAATTCTGCTCCCGGACCGTATAAACGAATATCCATATGGGATTCTGGGAACTGTGCACCCTGGGAATTCTGCATAAACACACTCTTGAGTTTAGAGCGGATCAGGCATGTCAGTTTGGGGTGGTTGTGTGAGGCACCGACCCTCCAGGGGTGGCCTTTGGGTCTGGGAAGGACACCATCCTAACCTCCCTCCAAGCTTGTAACCTGACCGGCTTCCTCCTCCCCCACAGACGGAGCGGGCTTACCAAAAGCAGCCCACCATCTTTCAAAACAAGAAGAGGGTCCTGCTGGGAGAAACTGGCAAGGAGAAGCTCCCCCGGTACTACAAAAACATCGGTCTAGGCTTCAAGACGCCCAAAGAGGTGCGAGGGCCCTCCCATGCCTAGACACCTGAGGAAGGCCCTGCACATGTGGGGACACAGGGGACCCACCCACGTCTTGAGTGGCTGCCTCTGGGGCTCCTGGGAATGGTAGTTTGTGTCCTTGAGGCCACACCCCCAGTGCCATTGAGTGACTGCTGCCCTGGACTCACTCCTTTCTCTGGTATTTTCAGGCCATCGAGGGCACTTACATAGACAAGAAATGTCCCTTCACCGGTAACGTCTCCATCCGGGGTCGGATCCTGTCTGGTGAGTGAGGGGTTCTGGGGGTCGGGGAGGTCTAGCTCCTGGGTTTAGAGCCGCTGGCACATGATGTCTGTTTTCACGATGGTCTTCAGAGCCCTCATGGGCACTGCTGAGACAGCCAGTTGGCAAAGCTGATGCCAGATCTACAGCTTGATTCTCAGCGGCTCTGACCTACCCTTGGTAAATGACACAGGATGTGCCTGTCCCCTCTCCCAGGTGTGGTGACCAAGATGAAGATGCAGAGGACCATCGTTATCCGCAGGGACTATCTCCACTACATCCGAAAGTACAATCGGTTCGAGAAACGCCACAAGAACATGTCCGTGCACCTGTCCCCCTGTTTCAGGTGAGCACAGGTCCCTGAGGCAGCTTGTGCCAACCTGAGGCTGATAGGTGGCCTCGGCTGGATGGCATTTCCTGGAATTCCAGTGTGCTTGCTAATGCTTCTCAGAATCCTACAAGGGCCATAGGGTTATTCAAGTATAAGATGCCTTTTTGCTGCTTCGGAGGTGCAGACCAGGCTGGCCTCCAGCTCAGAGACCTGCCTGCCTCTGCCTCACAAATGCTGGTTAAAGGTGTGCGCTGGCTATGAGACACTTCGAGCAGGTTTCCCTGGAGCTCAGTGGTGACTTGGGAGAAGTGTCCTGTGGGCAGAGCAGGGTGTAAACTGCTGGAGAAAGTTGCCAACCTGGGAAATGGAGGCCCATGTTTGTTACTTACGAACCACCTGAGGGGCTGCTGGGGCTGGGTGGGGCCTGGCTGGGGAGGAAGGCCTTTGCTGTGGGCCCCTCCTGAAGTCCTATGCTGGCGGACCCCCACAGGGACGTGCAGATAGGTGACATCGTCACCGTGGGCGAGTGCAGGCCCCTGAGCAAGACCGTGCGCTTCAACGTGCTCAAGGTCACCAAGGCTGCGGGTACCAAGAAACAGTTCCAGAAGTTCTGAGCAGCTGCAGCGCTTCCCCAGCAATAAAGTCATTTCAAACTTAAAGGATGCGTTTGGGATCTGTGTCCAACAGACGGGTTGCTGGGGTTGGCACGTGAGGGGCTCTTTGAGTATGGGGGTCCTGTCTGCTGCCTTCCTGGTTTTTGCCTCCTTGGCACTAGGTAGCTGGGGTCTCTAGTTACCTGTGTTGATCCCCTAGAGTCCTTGGGGGAGGAAGTGAGGGAGGGCAGGTGGAGCACCCGCCCTGACGCCCCAGGGCGTCTGCTGAGAACTGAGGTTCTAGCTTTCCCTGGGGACCTCTGGTCTCCTGTCAGCTGAAGAACAAGCAGGGGCACCAGGTGGGCACCGTGCCCTTTACAGCTGACACCTGGGACTCCTGGACCCAAGGTTGTGGAAACCAGCTGTCTCTGAGGCAGGTGCCAGGCCCGGTGGGAAGCAGAGGGGGAACCCACTCTGCAGAAGGGATCAGGATGGTAAGTGGGGGTGGGGAAGCCAGGGAACGGCCTGACCTCCAAAGGGATGGGAAGGTGGTCCCAGGTGTCAGCTGTGGGAGTGCCTGTTCGGACAGCAGGTGAGGATGCAGCATCCCCAGGTGCGCGGTGGGGGAAACAGACCTGGCCAGGACCCCTCAGCTGGAGGAAGGAGCTGCATTCGGTGCCGGGGTCCCCAGGTCCCTGCCCCCCAAGCCTGTACCAGGGTCTGAGGTTCAGCACTGGTACAAGGGTTGGGAGACGGGGCCATGGGGAGAGTCCACTGCCTCGGGCACTGCGCCTGGGAACCAGCTTCTGCCTTTTACCCTGGTGGGGAGGGCGTGGGTTCCTGCCAGAGGAAGTGGGCCCGCATCAAAGCGGGCGGAAGGGGCAGGGACAGGTCTACATGTGGACCCACCCAGAAGGAGGGACCAGGAGGGAGGGTGCACTGGGGGCAGCTGGGGACAGGGACCCCAGGGAGTCAAGCTGCCTGCCCGGAGGTGTGGCCCCCTCCCACCACAGGTGCTTCCGTTCCGGGTGGGGCTCAGTGTTTACAATAACAGCCCTGTGGTCCTATTTCCTCCCAGAGGTTGTTGGGGCGTCTCCTACTGCTCCATCATGGCATTACATGGTTCCCTCCAGGATTTCAGAGCCGGTGGGGTGCGGGTGACAGTGGAGGGGAAAGACACCCCCCTCTCCACCCTTCACTGTGCTCTCACCTTGAGAAGTGGGGCTGATGGTGTAGGGCACTCACACAACTGTCCAAATCCCCAGTACCAGCCAGACCTGATGCCTTGGAGCAGTTGCCACCCTGTCCCCTGTCTGCCTGGCCTCGTGTTTATTTTTTTTATTTTTGGTCTTTTTGAGACGGTCTCCCTGTAGCCCCAGCTGTCCTAGAACTCACTATGTAGAGCAGACTGGCCTTGAACTCAGAGATAGCCTGCTTCTGCCTCCCTAGTGCTGGGACTAAAGGCATGTGGCACCTTGCTCGGCCTTGTTTTTTTTCCCCCTTTTGAGTCAGAGTCTGGCTCCTTAGCCATAGCTGGCCTTGGACTCCATAGCATATTAAGTTGGCTTCAAACTTGGAGCGGTCCTGCCTCTGCCTCCTGGGAAACCTGCTCTAGTCATCTATGAGGACCCTGGGGTGGGGTTGGGGGGTGAGGCAGGGTTGTCAGGAGTCGTCAGAGGCCAGCAGAGGGAGCTCAAGGCCAGTCGGGCAAGTTAGCTGAGACTTTCAAGATAAGAGCTGGGGGTTCAGGTCCGGTAGAGTGCCTGGGTTCCTTCCCAGTCGCAGCACAAACCTGCAGCACACACCTGGGAAGCGACAGGAAATTCAAGGCCACAAGAGAACCTGTCTCAAGAGCCCGGCACAGTGGCACAAGCCCTTAATCCCAGCAGAGGCAAGTGGATCTTTGTGAGATTGAAGCTAGCCTGATCTACATAGTGAATTCCAGGCCTACAAAGGGAGACCCTGTCTCAGAAATTTCAAAAACAGAAGGAACAGGGAGTGAAAGGTGTTGACCTGCATTCAATCCCTCCAAGTTGTCCTTGACCCACCCATGTACTGTGGCAAGTACACGCCCATGCCCAACATGTGTGCACAGAAAATAATGTTATTTATTTTTATGTGTGTGTATATGTGTCTGCATGCAAGCACAGCTGTCCTCGGAGGCCAGAAAGGGTGTTGGATCCCCTGGAGCCGGGCTTACAGGTGGTCATGAGCCTCCAGGTGAGTGCTGGGACCAAATTCTGGTACTCTGAGAGCAATAAGTGCATTTCATCACTGAGTCATCACAGGCCAGCCTGAGCTGAGCCGGGGGGCTTGGTGGTGCACACCTTTAATCCCAGCACTCAGGAGGCAGAAGCAGGCGGATCTCTTCGAGTTCAAGACCAGCCTGCTCTACATAGTGAGCTCCAGGTCAGCTGGGGCTACAGGGAGACCCTGTCTCAAAAATGGAAAAAAAAAAAAAAAAAAAAAAAAAAAGCTGGCTTGGTCTCAGAAAGACCAGAAAGGAAAAAAAGGAAAAAAAAAAAAAAATGACTGATTGATTGATTGATTGAGACAGGGTCTCCCTGTAGCCCCAGCTGGTCTGGATTCGCTATGTAGATCAGGCTGGCCTTGAACTCCCAGAGACTCACCTGCCTCCGCCTCTCTAGTGCTGGGATTAAAGTTGTGCATCACCAACCCCTACTCCTTTTTTTGAATTTTTAAAGCATTTTATTTGGGGCGGGGTGCATGCCTGCCATGGAGCCCATGTGGAGGTAGGACACTCCAAGAAGTTCTCTCCCTCCACCATGTGGGTCCTGGGGATGGAACTTGGGTCTTCAGATGAGGGCAAACACCTTCACCCAGTGAACTACCTCATTGGCCCAGCTTCCTTCTTGAGTCTCCTGTATAGAGAACTGAAACCTCTTCCTGCCTATTTACTGCACAAACATTGTAAGATTACACTCTTGCACCCAAGGCCCCTGGAAGTGGTAAACATGAGCACCCCCAGTCCAGGCATCCTGGCCCTGAGCCCTCAGCACTCACCAGCTGTGTGACCAACAACAGACCCTCATTTTCCTCATCTGTGAAGGGGGTCTTTTCCCCCCAGCCCCACTGGAAAGAAGCAGTCCTGCTGGGTGGTTCTCCAGAGTGACTGCAGGAGACTGTAATCTCAGCTGTGCAGGTGAGTCCCACTGAGGGTTAAGGTTGGTGACCTTTGGCAGGTAAATTCAGAGATCACATATGTTCATGGGACCTTGGGTCTTTTAGAACAAGCTCTGATGATCTGTCTGAGATCTGGAGTCCATTTTAGTATGGACTAAAGTATGGCATGGTGGCACACACCTTTAATTCCAGCACTCAGGAGGCAGAGGCAGGCGTGTCTCTCTGAGTTCAAGGCCAGCCTGGTCTACATAGTGAGTTCCAGGACAGCTGGGGCTACAGGGAGACCCTGTCTCAAAAACACCAAAAAAAAAAAATTATTTTTATTTTTTGTGTATGAGTGTATTGCCTGCATGTATGTGTGTATACCCCTGTTGTGCAGTGTCACGGAGGTCAGAAGTGGGTGTCAGATTCCCCTGGCACTGGAGTTAAGGATGGTTCATAGCCACCATGTCGGTGCTGGGATTCGAACCTGGGTCCTCTGCAAGAGCAGTCAGTGCTCTTAACTTTTGAGCCATCTCTCCAGCCCAAGATTTAATTTTTAAATATTTTCATTATGTGCATGTGTGGTTGAGTATGTGCAGGTGAGTGCAGATGCCCAAAGAGTCCAGAAGAGGGCATCAGATCCCTTGGATCTGGAGTTACAGGCCTTGGCCACCTGACATGGGTGCTGAGAACCAGACTGAGGTCCTCTGCAAGAGCAATGTTTTTAACTGCCGAGCCATCTCATCCAGCCCCTAGGATCCTTAAAGAAAATTATGGAGCTGGAGAGATGGTTCAGGGGCTAAGAGTTCTTGCTACTCTTGCAGAGAGAGGAACCAAGTGTGGTTCCCAGCACCCACATCAGGCAGCTCACAACCATCTATAACCCAACTCCAGGGAATCTGACGCCCCCTTCTGGCCTCCTCCAGCAGTGCACTCACATGTGCACATACCACACAGATGCACACATACACAATTCTTTAATCTTTAAAATTTTTATTACATTAATGAATGAAGTAATTTCTGTTGATTGTGTCCGTGTATATGAACACAAGGCTTGGCTTGGCTCCTACTGGGTTGTGATGCTGACCCTGGTGTGGTAAAGGCCTGGAAACCTCTGTGGTAGGCAGAATGGCCAGCTCTCCCCTCAAGGCTGTTTTATATTTCACTTGACAGCTCAGGCTGTCTTGGACCTCACTATTTTGCCCATAATAGCCTTGAACTCACAGCCATCTGCCTGCCTCAGCCTTCCAAGTGCTTGGGATTACAGGCGTGATGCCTGTCTGGCTGTGGGCCGTGACAGTGGTAGGGCCTGTTGATGCCAGTATTGGGTACAGAACCCAGGCTGTGCTCTAACTGCACCTTTAGTCCCCTCAATAAAACTAGGCGGTATCTGCACATAAGAAGTCCCTCCTTCAGTCTCTGTTGACCTAAGACCCAAAGCAATGCAAGTACATGCTTGTAAATACTTATGATAAAGGGCAGGGCCTTGTGGTACACGCCTTTAGTCCCAGAACTCAGGAAGCAGTGGAAGGTGGATCTCTGTGAGTTCAAGGCCAGCCTGGGCTACACAGCAAGTTTTAGGCCAGCTAGGCTACAGGGAGACCCTGTCTCCAAAAACGGGGCAGGGGGTGCTGGAGAAATTACTCAGTGATTAAGAACGTTGGCTGCTCTTACAGAGGGCTTGGTTTTGATTCCCAGGTCTTCAGCCTTGCAGTGAGTGCCTTCACCCACTGAGTCATGTGCATGCAATGCCCAAGGAAGCCAGAAATGGGTGTCGGACCCCCTGGAACTGGAGTTAACAGATGACTGTGAGCCATCATGTGGGTGCTGGGAACCAAACCCAGGTCTTCTGTTTGTTTGTTTGTTTGTTTGGAGACAGGATCTCCCTGTAGCCCCAGCTGGCCTGGAACTCACTATGTAGACCAGGCTGGCCTTGAACT